ACGCTAGCATGTGTGTCGGTACGTAAGAACACTCGAACAATTTAAAACTTTAAATCATAAAAATGATAAATACTGTAACAGAGTTTAATATCGATTCGCCGACGATAATTATAGTCATTGGAATAATTCCTTGAGTCATCAGTAAAGCTAACGATCCATTGATCCGCAGAACGTGACCAACGATTCTTTGAGTAACAACCGTTGTTCCACATGCGTATCACAGTCTATTGTGTCTGGTAAAACACGCGGTACACTGCAGTTCGCCAATCTCGCGTGATCATGCGATGGCTCCAGGAAGGCGCGATCAATCTTGGATGCTGATTTTTTTTTTCCCCGGAAAAGAGCATCGTCCTCTCTTAAAAACATTTATTATCACGTCGCTTTAGCGGCCGTCACGTACCGTTCATGTGAGTAAAGCGGCGATCTTTTTTCTACCGCGTGACACGTTTTAGGTATTTTACGAGCTAAGATTAATCGCTCGCTTACAGTTTCACCTAACTACCAGAGATTCTAAATGCGTCGCTTTAAGCGCAAGGAGCTGAATACCATTATCAATCTTTTGCAAGTTACTCAGTTAATAAAAAGTATAAAAACCGGTGTTACAATCTCTTATGAAAGTCGTACGAGAATTAAAGAAAACGTGCGCGACGTGTATGCTGCGAGAATGTATATCTTACACACGGCTACTCTCTGTGAGTGAGTGTATATTATTATCTATAATGTCTCTATAATTATACTATCTACAACTTTCAATTTGTTTATTTAGACTATGTATCTAATTCGAGATACAAATTAAAATACTTTATTTCACTTTATCTAAAATTTTATATCTGTTCGCTAATAAGACGGAAGTCTTCAAAGTACCAATGTAATGAGATAAAATACTAATTGGAATTACGAATGGCGTTCGGTCAGAAGATCGACAATATTATAGTTACGAAACGCTTTAATACAGTATTAAATCGTTCGCATCGTCCCTTTGTATTGAGAACTTTTTATATCTCTTTTTATTAGGAATTTATTAATAGGTATATTCAACAAGCAAATTTAAGTCTTCTCTTTCTCTCGATATTTTATTCAGTAAAATACGCAAAAAATGCAGTCTACATAAATTTCGAGAAAAATTCAGTACTTAATGTGTATCAGATTGTTATCAAATTATATAAGTTGAACCTTCTGTATCTAAAAATTTGTGTAAAAAAATCTTAATAAATCGTGACGATAAATTCTCTAATGTCATTAAAAATCGATATTTGTCAATCAGAATTGTACAATAATAATGCAATCAATAATCAATTTTTATATAATATAATAGATAGCCAGTAGATATATTTATCAAGAACAAACAGTTACGCACGTATTTCTGTTACTTTTCAATGTCGACCTTCGAAACATTTAAATTGCAAATAACGGAGACCTCGTTACCGTGATGTAAAGTTCTTTTTAAGGAAATGCAGCGAGACGTGTACTAAAAAGACGGGTGCAATTACATTTAAGTTGATGCAGGTAAGAAACGATACATTCGAATAAGAAAACGCTGCTGCGTGGGAGGGGAGGAAATGCATCGAGCGTTGCATTCAAGTACGCGCGCGTCAATGGCGCGCGATTTCGCGACAAGGCCAAGGACCGCGAATTTTTATCAACGGCCGAAAGTGTCCCAACCACGTTTCAATGACGTGTCGTAGCGGTGAAATTAATCGCGAAGAAGAAGGTCGCGAGTATTCTCGCCCGCGTTTTCCGCCTACGCCTGCAATCCGACGCCTGCAATTTGCAAATGCTTGTGGACTTTTCCACTTATTAAAAACTAATTTGCCAGGCGCGCGCGAAATGAGGAAAAAATAGTGGCGCGCAAAAAATAGCTCGAGCCAACATGGTAGACATTTTATTTTCACCGAAATAGTATGTGCGTCGAATTCAAAACGATGAAGAATTTTGCTACCGTTAGTCGACGTTTTAATGTGCATAATCAAGAAACGAATGTTAAAAAATCTATATGTAATGTTGTTTACATTTTACTATGTTATTTATTTATTTATACGTCTAGCTTGATTTTTTATTTCTATTTTGTCAAATCATTTTGTTAGTTTTTGCGGGTCGTTAATCGCAAATGGAAGAAGAAACTAGACACGGGCTCTGGAATCCAATATAAACAATAATTCCGAATGCGAAATTTGCCGACTTTGGATGCCCAGCCGGTCTTCCAATTTCACCGCTTTCCGCGTGATCCGAATCATCGATGCCGCTTAACATGCTTTTTGCGTGATACGGCAGCTTTTACGCGCGATGTAACCGTACCCGTTTGTACGTGGAACCGGGAGAGAACCCCCTTTCATATATATGCACGCAAGAAACACGGAGTTCTCTCGCATACGTCGTACGTGCGCGGGAGTCGAAACCAATCTCTATCGATCCAACGTACAAGATGCGGCGTAATAACGTTTATTTATCTATAATATATCCAGAGTGTCCGGTAATAACCGCACCAGCTCTCGGGAGCTGGTAGAGCGGATTAAACTAAACAGAAAAGTCTCCTTCACCATTTTGCAAAATTCGCAGTAATTAACGAGATGTTAATTTTTTAAGACTGTCGAATAAACGCGTGTCCGTCCGGTCCACCCCTAAATGTAAGCGCGCGGCGAGTCGCTCACATTGGCTTTATTCCTATTTATTCGATTTACTTCATTTAAGCCTGAATTTTATTGAATATTAAAAAATATAAAACGTCGATAAGTTTTGTGTGATCTGTTAATAATTGAAATTATCATTTTTTCGGAACAATTAAATAATGCTCGTCGTCGATTATTCAAGGTTGAGCAGATTAAACTCGCCGTCAGCTCGCCGCGCGCTTACATTTAGGAGTGGTCCGGACGGACACGCGTTTATTCGCCAGTCTTCAAAAATTAATACCTTGTTAACGACTGCAAATTTTGCAAAATGGTAGAGGATTTTTCTGTGCAATTTAATCTGCTGTACCAGCTTCCCCCGAGAACTGGTGCGGTTATTACCGAACACGCTGTGTATATATATATATTTTTTTTTCTCTTTTTCATTTATCTTATCTCAGTATAATCTAATCATAATTGCTCTCTGCTTTATGAAGAGAATGTATGTATCTTCGAGAAAAAAAATGCATTTATGTAATAAATTTCGTTTAATGAGTTTAATTCGCGTTCTTAATTCGCGTTTTGTCTGTGAAAAAAAAGAAATTACAAGTGCACTTGATCTCTCCATCGAGACTTGTCCAAGCGATCGAGATACAATCGTGACGGAAGAAGTGTCCCGCGGGTTAGAAAATAATATCTGGCTGTCGGCCCTCACAGTCGGGGGGAGAGATTCTCTCGAGTATATAAGTAGAAGAGTCCAATTAAGACCGGCCGCCTGTCTGAGGAGCAGACATCCGCGAAAATTCTGCTTCGTTTGTGATTTCGAGGAGAGGAACAGTTTATCGAGATAATATAGATCCGCCGTCGGACGGCCGGTCGGCGAAAGAGGATAACCGTTGGGGAAATGCGAGCGATATCGTGAGACGAGACGCGACGCGGTGAAGAGAAAATCGAAGCACGAAGAGGGTTTAGGCGAGCTACGCGTTACAAGCTCGACGCGATTGCGCCGCGCTTTCCGCAGAGAGCGTGCTTTATAATTTATCTTGCACAGCACCGTCGGCGGTCCCGACACATTCGAATGCGTTATACTCTTGCGTAATTCACAGCGCGGTTAATACACGAGACGCGGCGACCAGATCGGATTTTCAGATTAGTAAACAGAGTCATTGTACTTTGGCCGATTTATTCGACTCGGGCGAATGTTGAGTAACTGTAAATCGCGGCGCGACTCTCTCGTTGAAGAAATACCAGAGAACTATGTAGAACATCTCCCGTACTATGTACGTATTGTAATAAATTCATTTCACTGCTTCCCATTCAAATTCATTTTAATTTGCATAAAAAAAAATATTTAAAAAATGCTTAAATTCAAGAATTAAATAAAAATGCCACAGCCAGAATACATATAACATGTGTGTAGAATTATAAAAACTCAATAAAAATGTATTACATCCCACCTGTAATAAACATTCAAATATTTTCACTTTTGAGGATTTCACGGTAATAAAGAGAATAAAAACTAATTATTTTACAATCGAACAAACTAATATCTGAATGTAAACTGTGATTGATGAGAGGAAGAGAATCGTATGATTGATATACTTATTTCATCGTTATATTCTGACATATGACGCGCTTTTATAATCTGACAGTTTAATCTTTCCGCCTTTTACCGCACAGATAAAAAAAACCATGTGAGATCTCGCTTTGATAAGTCCCTTTATTATTTTATTCGCAAAAAAAATAAACGGCCGAAAAAAAAACAATCGACCGAAGGATATTGGTCTGCACGCTGTTCAATGGTGCATGAACGATCCATAAAGCTAGGCATGCGAGCGTAGTTGAATCGTAATTTATCGTGATTTCGCGCTAACAATGTTTTTTCACGACTTCAAGAACACCCGCGAAATTACTAATTTGACGGAAATAAACGTCGCTGTGCTTTGCATAATCTTTTCTCGTGCAAAAAAAGTTACACGTATTCCTTCAATATTTTCTTCCGCATCAATGCAAAACTTTCAAAACATAAGAGTTTAATAGGGAATTAAATTAATATTTTACAAAAAAAGATACGAAATTCGAACTGCCGTTTATATTTTTGGAATTTCGATTTATATAAAATTCCATTATTTTTTATGTTGTTGCGTAACGTAAATCAAGTTATAAATTTTTTTTTCTCGAAAGCTATATTTCCACGTTTGTGGAACGTATCGTGCGCGGTATAATGGTTCGATAAAATAGAAAATGCAAATGATCGAAATGAATGAGGCAGACTAGACGCACCGCTCGTTTCTCGCCGCCGCTGAATTACGTAAGTTCCTCGCGTGAGTTTTCTACGTTATTTTGCGAGACTTTGCGAGTCATTATGCTCTAAGAGAATCATCATGTGTCACTCACCAGTCGGGAAACAATACCAGCGCCTCGGCGAGGATGTCCCGCAGGAGGGTGGTCGCGGGCGGCACGTGGGGCAGAATGACGGGTGCGAAAACACCGCAAACTCCGGCGCTGCGTCCGTGGCGCGTCTCGTAACGGCTAAGGTAGATCGTCAGGTAGCCGAGCAGATGATAATGCGAGGACGGCAGAGTCGATAACAGCTCCTTCGTCGCGGCGATCCACGTGTCGTGATCGTTCGCGTAGTTCTCTGCGGCAGACATTTTTATTCACGAGTGGCACTTAAAGGAGTTCCCCTTGAAGGAATGTAGACAAATCACTCTAAGGAGAAACATTCAAAATTAACACAATAAAAATACAAAAAAATACAAAAAACGTAACATTATTAGCGATATTGTATTGTATTTTTCAAATAATAATTATGGAAACTAAAGAATAAAGGTGCCTAAAGCTAAAAAAAATAAAAAATAAAAAATATATGTTTTCTCCTTAAAGCGACCATTTTCTACGATTTCATCTATAGTTAATTTCCTTCGTGAATAGAATTTATCGGAAATATCGGGACACAGAGGCCCAAATCACAGAGTTGCGGTAACGCTATATAGCAAGGTTTCTCTCTAATACTAAAATATTCGCCACATTGATTTACATTTTTTAATGGAAATTGAAATTTTTAAAACCGAAACCGCATTTGAGACACAATTCGGAATAATTTAGACGCCCCGATCGTCCCAATGGAGCGTCTCGCTCTTGGATGAAATCCTGAATTATTTCGAGAAATTGATTAGAATTATGGATTCTTACGGGTGTGAATGTTGAGCAGTCTGCCGACGAGGGTGGATGGCACGACCGGCTGCGGTAGCTCTTTCAGATATTGGCGGAGCAAGGTCGCGGCGGTCGGCGGACACCCGGCCGCCTCTAGATCGGCGTCGCCCCGCCGCTCGAAGGCCGCCCTTAGCCGCTCTGCCAGCCGCGGACTGCCGCCCGACAGGCGGAACACCGCCGCGCTCTGGAAGCCGTGCACCTCGATGTAGCTGCATAGCCGGTGCACCACGTACGGCACGCCCGTGTCGAGATACGACTCGACCAGCTCCAGCCGGGTGCCAAAAATCCTGCTGGAGCCAGCGCCGCGACCCAACAGCGAACCCGCCAGGACGCGCTTCACGCGAGCGAGACGAGACTCGTCCTGAAATGCGATCAACGTGGATTTCTCAGATCACTTAGTCCTTGCGCATTTTCAAGTATTCTAGTCGAAAAGCACACATTCGAAATCTAAATCATTTCCTTTCCCTAGAGAAATATGCTTCGCAATTATACTTCGAATAATTAAAATAATTATATAAATACATTAAAAGTAAAATCGATATGTAGAAATACCGTAAAAAAGGCTTTTTAAAAAGTAAATTCTAAAATTAGTACAAGATACATAACGTAAAAAGCTCACAACAAAAATGATTATACCTTATATGCTATTGGTTATTTATTAATATTTGTTAAGTACTGGATATTTTCATTAATCGTTAAATAATCATTATTTAATTATAATATAATTATATTCAATACTGTATATAATTATATAATAATTAATAATTAGACATAATATAACATTGCAGCGGTTGCGCATTACATCGATTATTAATTTCTTTCTAGGTAAAGTCTAGCTATAGATAGATAGATAAAAAAAATCACGAACACTTTGATAATATTTTTGTCTCCATATTTTCCTTAATTCATTCAAACGACGTACATTTTACATCCACTGCGCACGCTTTACGTCGAGTATCGAGCGATAATTGATATTTCCGACATTCACAAGACATTTATACAGGTCGTATAAATGATTAGTATAAAGTGACAGGGAACGAGAAAGCGTAATCGACGAACGGCTGCTAACTGTTGAAAAGCCAGTGCCTCGACAAAGTGGAGTAACGAATATAGATATAGACGCCGCATTCTCGTTCAATGCGGTAGAAGAACCAGAAAGTTTCTATAGCCGTATCTCGCATATAGAACGAGAACTGCCATGTGACATTGTCTATTTATTAAGACAGCAGTAGCCATTGCTGGTAGTAACTTCACGCAGCAGTTTTTTCTAATCGTTATAAAATAACAGCCATAAAATGGCGCGATAGAGCTCGAAGAAAAATGCGCAAGTCTATCGAGTAGAAAATTATTATGTCATTATTATATTCCTATTGAGGGAAATGCACAATTTCGCAAGATATGTACATTATACAAAAATACATATGTGGTTGTGATCTTTTACTTTGGCGTATCAGATATGTTTATTGAAGCGACTAATTATAATTGCAACAAAACCACCATCGTAAGGCAAAGCTGTGATTTCTTCGCGTTAAATCGCAGTAAATGCCATGAAAAGCACTTACCTTATCGTGTGTTTGACGAGAGCACGTGGGGCTTGTTGAGGATCCATGATGATGGTGATGATGGTGGTGGTGATGATGATGGAGATGTTCTTGCTGAGGGCGTCTCATCCCACTTTGTCTGCACCGCGACCCGCTGCCGCACTAACAAAAGCGACGAGTAAACTTGTAAGTCGTGCGATATGCGACGGCATGCAAATCAACGGCCACTCAAAGATTCGTTATTCATTATCATTCTTGTGTTCCGAATGAAATCCTTTGATCGCGGTTTATAACATCATGGAATTAGAAATTAAAAATCGAATAGAGAAAACTTTTTTCTAAATAAAAAGATTGTTAGAAAAAAAATTCAATATTAATCGTTCGCGGCATTGAAAGGTAAATTAGAATATAAATTTAGATAATATAAATCTAGAATATACTATAAATTTAGAAGATACATGCAAGTATTTTTCGGGAATAAAAACAAACGATAAAAATGATGAAAAAATTACTGATCTCGGACGGAAGATTGGAAGCTTTACATCGACCTAACGCGAGGTAACTGCCGTGTCATTTGCACGATCAGTGTGCTGGCGAACACAACACGTCAGTGCACCGACATTGGCGGAACAATCGCGGGGGTAATTTCAATATTTTCGCAAACGCGCGATCGATGAGCGCGTGACGAGAAATGCGCATTTCATAACATAGGAAAAGCTCCGCTCTAGTAGATCGATGAACCGTAAATGTCGTCGTCCTCGTTTCCTTTATCAACATCCTTTATTATAATAAAAATAAAAAAACGCGTCGACAACTATCGCGCCGTACCGCGAACGTCTCCATAACAAATATCTATTAATCATTTTTCATTCTTTTTCCCTTATCTTATCCTTTTGTCAAACACAATATCTCTATTGGCTGAAAAGAGAATTGGTCCTTAATTGGAACGTTCTACTTTACTTTAATTATTATTGCAAGCTGTTATATTTATATACGCGGTCCCTTCGGAGCGAGTGTGTGTTTCAGTTTGCAAAATCTAAAGAAATTATTCATCGCAAGAGCGGGCAAGTCCTTGACAATTGCCAACTCTCTCGCTCCCGAATATAGATAATTTTTCTGCGACGTAAGTTTTATCGAGCAGGCACAAAGTAATGCTATTGAAAATAACTCGCCGACCGTTGCACCGATAACCGATAACCGCAGTCGATCAATTTACTTTGTCATCCCTTTTTGCGTGAAAGACGCGCAGTTTCGAAGAACAATTACGAGACGGTTAATGATTGCCGATGATGCTCGCTTGCATCGACTGATGCCGGACCGGAAAATTTCAAGCGAATCGGATTACTCATGCACTTGAAACCAAAATTGTGCCAAAATTTCGCGATTGCGTAACTGCGTCGAGACTCTTGCGTGCGCGCGACATAAATTTGCGGCTTTTAATCCATTCATTTCGCCTATACGCCGAATTTGTGACGCAAATTGGAAAATTACTCTACAGTAATACGTTTTTTAATCGCATCACACGTTTTGGATGTATGCCATCAAAACCGGATGCCTTTACCTAAAGCTCTTCGATAAAACTGCGAAAAATCAAAGCGCATTCGCTTCTATAATACTTTAATACCTCTAAAAAAAATAGCTAATAAAAAGAAAATATTTTTGTAAAACGATTGTCATTACGTACTTTCTACGTAATTGAATTATTATACTTTAATCATTTAAATGTATCATTAAATGCCTTCGAAGAGTTTAATAAAAATAAAAAAAAGTTAATAAGAAGAATATATCAGCTGTAATATTTAATGTTATTTCATATCTTATATACATAAAATAAATATAAAATTTTTTAATGTCTCAATAAATTAAATAAATTAGTAAAAAGTCTAATAAAAAATAAGATTAGAGGTTTTGTAAATATAATTTCATTAAAATTACATTTGCCTCATTGATTTAAACACTGGTTAATAATTAACCAGTGTTTAAACTATCTATTAATTAACTATATGTGTATAATAATTGTTGTAATTCATATCGCTTTTATCAAACATTTCAAGTACATATGCAAATATGTAATATGTAAAGTGTTAAAGAGAAACACTCACAATGCACTCTCTCGCGACCCTCCACAGGTTGAAGTACACTGAGCTCAGCGTGGCAGCTGTCCCGTCCTGCTCCTCCCTCCTTCCGCCCCTTCGTCTGGATACGCCGTGAGTACGTACTGATAACGTCTCTTCCGGGTTATGATCGTGCTCCTTCGATCCGGCCAGTTCCGGCGGCTGGGATCACGAATTTATACCGAGTACCGCGAATACCGAGTACCGAATGCGAGACCGCGTACGCACTTCCTCGCTTGAAAATGACCCGTTCCCGTTCGTCGGGATTTTAATTTATTTCAGAAATAACGCGAAAAAGAGAAAAGTCGTTCTTGTTTGTCTTCGTGATTGAAAGAGCAAGGAACGACTCGTGGGGGGGATGCGTGTGATGTATATGTGTGTATATATATATGTGCGAAAAAGGACTCTTGCAGCAGAGAGAAAGAGAGAGAGAGAGAGAGAGAGAGAGAGAGAGAGAGAGAGAGAGAAGGGCCGTCGAAGAAGAAAAGTCTTTCTTGCGTGCGCGTGAAAATTTCGAACGACCGTGTGTGTCTTTCTTCGTTTTTGTTGTTTTTTTTTTTCTTACGACGACGGCGACGGCGACGTCGACGCCGTTGAGCGGAGATCGTGCGACTCGACTAGTAGTTCTGGGTTCATGTCCCTATCACGGCACATCGCATCGAGCCCTTTCTCTAAGGCAAAGGGCACTGCCTATGGCTGCTTCAGGAAGTGAGTCGACACCAGCCGTAGCGTAAGCATCGAGGGTCGGAGCCGGGATGAGGTCTAGGTCACCACTCCGCCCCTGGCCCTGGCATGGTCTACGTACCTTCTGCTCGGGCGCTTACTGCACCCGCTGCGCTCTGAAAGCAGAAAACACAAAAGGGACTTCTTTACGTTTCGCCACTAATTGCGGAAGAGATACCTCAGCATCAATGTATGTACATCCCTCTGTAAACAGCTTCTCTTCTGTATTAAAATACTGTATTAAAATACATTTTGGAATATACATGAATCTAGGTAGGTACTTTTTGTAATGAATACATGTGTATTTAGATAAGATAGAAAGTAATACATCTTTTTTTAGACCTCGGTTTTACTCGCGTGGGAAGTATTAGGCGCGACCTGATTTGACTTTTGATCCGATATCAATTTAATTTTCTCCGTGTATCAGCTTGATATTAACGCGTTTAGTATTAATAGTAATAACATAATAATAGCTGTAATAATAGCTCTCTTGACGCACATAATATATATTTAAAATAATTTATATCTATATATAAAGGTTATCATGCTATTTTTGCGTGCGCGTATGTGGCACATGCATAATTGGATTATGCATATATTATTTGACAAGCATAACAGGTCATAACAAGTCATTAACTTGTGAACACATTGGCAAATGAACAAAGAACAATTCACAAGTTTGCAGTGCTTCACTGAAAATAAGTTTGTTCGTTGATATTCATTTTTAGAGATAGAAAGAAACTAAAGACATTACACAATATCTCATAGATGTACTCTGTCGTTAAAAATATATTTACATCTTTTATAAGTATTCTCTTTATGCTGCATGTTGCGAGAATTATAAGCTATAAGAATTAGAATAGGCTCCTTCTTGTTCTTCGTTCTTCATTCGCGTGGAAGCCATAGGATCGCACCTAATCCTGAACCGACCGCGTAACACGGTCCAATTTAATTACGCTCGTTGATTCGTTTAGCGTGCCCAGTCTCCGTGGACTATAACCATGTTTGAAATATGTATCGCGATTGAGAAGAAAATCGAGAAACGCGTCTTATCGACTTTTGCAACTATAAATAGTTTTCTCATGACGCAAGATGCTTAAGGAGATTATTTAAAGCTACGCTTTAATTAATCCAATGGAAAGGAAATTTAAATATTTCTTGATTATATTAGTCATATATGAAATTAATAATCGATTAATTTCATATCATATTTATTTCATATCGTGTGTAAAAGATAAATTAAACTCTTTTTGATAAATCAAATTGTCGAATTTACATTGATTTATCAATATTTTATTGTTGTATGAAGTGAGAATCCACGAGCATTGGCGATTTTGCAGAGACACGACGACGAGTCGACGTTAATACATTTTGCAGCAGAAGAGTGTGTAATTAATCGCGGCTATCAAGCTTTTCAGTACACGCGACAGCTTATGAATTAATTAACGCCCGTGGCACTCGAATTTAATTTAATTAATATTCATCATTCGCCCATTTGCAACACTCGTCTTCGCAACCTGGTAATGTGCGATCTTGAAGACAACAGTTCATTTCTTCAAATGACACAAAATACAGCACGACGTCCCGCGGCTCAATTTTAACTCGACACAGTCCAATAGATATAAAGTTAATTTCACAAGAGACCATAGTTTAATATTTATGTATGGTAATTCTTCTCTATTTAAATATCCCATTAACTTAAGTAGCACGATTTATTTTAAAAAAATGTAAGAAATTAAATTATAATTAATTAGAATAATTTGATGCGTGTTATTGAAACATTCAATTAATTTTATGTATAAAATATTTTTTTCAAAGTCCCTTAAAAAATGCAATTTTATTGACTCGCTCATAGCTATTTCATTTTCAAAGGGATCCAAAATTTATCCCTTTTATCAAGAAAAACTGATGACTTTCAAAGTAGACCGCTCGTATCGTGATACGAGCGCTCTTTCATTTCCTTTTCTGCGGTGTGTCGAAACGACATGAGGGATTTCGCGAAGCTTACAGTCGAATGAGAATGAAATTTGCGTAAGTCGCTTGGCTTTTACGCGCGGTTCTCCGTTTCACATTTTGACAGTCGCGTTACGTGCTCGTACCACGAGATTTTCGAATGAATAATTACGTGGAAAATGCGCTCGACGAGTTTAGCAGCGTTAATAATGACCCATTTAATGCTTATTTAAATTGTCTTCAAGAGCGAGCTTTAAAGCAATAAAAATAGTAACCTTGACTGAGAATTCAATCCGTGAAATCGACCATGAAATCTTATATAATCGTGGTAAACACAGAGCGCTCGCGAATTGCAGGGAAGATTCGGTTTGACAACATGGAAAGAGTTACGTCACTCTCTTCTCGCAACTTCGCAGCGCGGCCACGCTACTTCGGTACGGAAGGTACGGAAAGTGCGCGCAAGTGTACAAGGTATTTACTTAATTCAGCGATATTGCATCCGTAATAGCAATGCATTATCAGCAAAATGTGACTGTTTGTTCCCGTGCTTACGCTAAGTAGAAAACTCGTTCGAACAAATAAGACAGGACAAATAAGATTCAGATTTGAAGACGCAGCGAAAATTACGCCTGCGACGGCTGCATCTTCGCGAGTAATCGAATTTCGCAGTCAACAAATTTCGCGCACGATGAGCACTATATCGTTAATGCTCGTCGAGCGTTAAATGCAAAACACGAAGATTGCGATCAATTTTAACGAATTTTGATAAAATCAAATTTGCCAATCGATTCAGCTAAATTTTTTAAACACGGAATATTAAAATATTCTTCGGGACATTCAATATTATTATCTTTGCAAGTAAAAAAATTAATATCAGTCGAAAAACGAATCAGTCCTCTATTTGAATAGTTTCTCGACACAGGGATTATAAGTCGGCGTTTAAGACGAGAAATTCGTTTGAGAACACTGACCTAATGCACCCTAATGGAAAATTGCACAGTGGAAAGATTCGTGCGCGGCCGATCGATTCGCTCGTTCGCGAGATATCGTGCGTGCATCAGCTCGCTCAGCGGTGCATGCCCGTGTAGGGTGTCTGCGATCGATATTTCCCGCGAGGGTAAATGGAATGAGCATTTAATTTCGTACGGTGGAAGAGAGCCGGCGTTCTCCCGGTTAAATGACGTGCCGATCGCACGAAATGCACCTGTTCGCGAAACGTGTCGAAGATGCAGCCTGCGGAGCGGAATCACACATGTTCGCGAGGCAGCGATAAAGAAAATAATTTTCTCGCATTCGTTCATTTCTTATTCCTTATTTCCTCCACGACAAAATATCGCGATGGAACGTGAGAGATAAAAAGGAATAAACGCGAGGGAAGAAACACAAGAAGCGACTTAAGTCTATTCGCGTTTCTAATTCAGGACTTGTGATTTAAACCCATAATCCGTAAGGGAGCTACTTTTTACAATGCGGATCTTGCGTCCTGTTGAAAATAAAAGAGAATTTAAAGAGGATCTTGCAGATGAATTTCACGCGGATTTTGCAAATTTTCGGGAAAAAAAATGAGAAGTGAACCTTGCTGACTATAAATTTGCTAATTATAGACTCGATGTACTTCAGTTTCTGACGCGCTTGCATATCGTGCTTGTAATATTGTACCTTCGATATACTTTAAATTTTATTCCGCAATTCGACGCTTATATATTTCATATTCCTATATCTTCCCTCGCGCGCTCTTTTGTTCCTTCGCATCGTCCTCGCATCTCGTTTTTTATAGTTCATTGTGCCACGATCCTTGCACCTGCGCCTCGGTGCGAAGTAGGAGGGGGCGGGAGGGAGCACGTTGCGCTTAGCAACAACCGCACGTTTTTATGTAACCATCGAGAAGAAATCGAATTCCGTCAGGTCGACGACGTGTCGGTGTTGTCGCGCGTTTACACGCTCTCCGAGAGATGCGACTTCTTTTTTTTTATGTATAATATATATTTACATACATGAAAGAAGTCGGCCTCCTGCAGAGCTTTCACCCCCCTTCTCACGTAGCTGCATAAGACATACGTACATGGATACATGGCGCAATCCGTCTCTAGACGGTATAACTCTCTGTAGCCTGTCCGGGTTAACGGACGTAATATCGAGGTCATTTAGCTTCACGCGACGAAACGTAATCTCAATGCACCGACAAGTGCGATATATAACGATCCGTGGCCACCTCCGCTCGCCCGCGTTCCACTTGACTCGCTTTTCCCATTATCGAAATACACAATAAAGTCAAGAAGTTTTGCTTTACTTCGTTATATATCTCGCGATATATCTCTTCGGATTGGTTCTATAATACTTTCGATTCACACAATTCAAGTATTAGAACGATGTCATTCGGAACTATTAACGACTGATTACACAGTTTTCACTTATAAAATTTCAATTTGTATTCGTAAAGATTGAAAATTAATAGAGAAATAATTTTTTCCCGAATTTATAACTCTATATATAACAAAATGTATATACGTCGTAATTGTGGCTATCACGTATTATAATTTTGACGAAACAACGTGAAGACGTGTCAAATGCAGCTGATTCGATTTTGAATCTACGTAGCTTGCACAGCTGCAGCAGCTTTTCTGCACTTAACACCAATTTCGGCCTTTTGCGCAGTTGCCGATATCAAACTGTCGCTTGTAGTAGTGAATTAGTTTTCGCCAAAACCAACCGCATATAAATTTAACACGAACGGGCGTTAAATCATTCACAATCGCGACAACGAGAAAAGGATCGTTAATTGTAATTAGAGTTAACTGACGTTAATAATTTTGCGAAACTGCGACGCTCGATCGTGGTGGTAAACAGAGACAGAAACCACTCTCTACAAACTCGTATCTAGAAACGTCGATCTAGAATAAAGTCTGGTTTATTCGAAGAAAAAAAATTTCGTAGATTAATTTTGAAATATCAAATCTTCTCTCGAAAGCATTAAAATTACATTAGAATTAACAAATTCCACGATAAAATGTTGCTCCAAGCGTGCAAAGAGTGTCACAAACGAAAGGTCAATACTTCAGGTAACGACGGTATTTTCGAACAAAATTCGCAGCAAGGTGACGACACGTATGCGCTGCGAATGACAATAAAAAGGAACGAAGGTCACCGTTTTATCATTTACCAC